ACGAACAATTGGGGGAATCCGCCCTATTTTGTTCCTGCTGCCGGAGACCGCCCATAAGAGAATTTGGGTCGCTCGGCTCATTCACACCTGAAGGTCTCCCAACCTATGCATTTCTCAAATCCCAATATAACAAAATGCATCGGCCCCTTTACCATATGCAAACAATGGTGCTAGTTTTTCCTAACTTAGTCTATGTTGGTCAACTCACTGAACAAGGATGTTCTGTTTTGTTTACACCATCTGGGTGCTCCATACAAGATTTGAAGACGGGAAGGCAGCAGATCGAAAAGGAGAATAAGCAGGGATCATTTTTCACTTGGAGGAGCTTCATCAACCCCCAGCATCATCGATTGTCAGTACTCGCTCTGTTAGGAGTGTCAGTAGTCCCTTTCAGTCATCTTGTCTTTGTACTAGTCCTCTGTCAGCCGATTTTTCTCGTCAGTCAGATAATATTTGGCATTCAAGGTTAGGACATCCTTATTCTGATCGTCTTGAAAAAATGTTCAAACTAACTTTACTTGGTAAAAATAATATTGGCATTTCGACACAACATTCATGTGCTAGTTGTGTTGAAGTCAAAACTATTAGCACCTTTTTTCCTTCTAGTACTAATATTATAATTGATCATTTACACATTATTCATACGCATCTTTGGGGTCCTACACCTGCTATTTCTTGACGTGGATATCATTATTTTTCCCTTTTATTTATTATGCCACTTGATTCACTTGGATTTAATTTCTTCGATTAAAATCTGAAGTTCTAACTTCTATGAGTCTGATTCCTCGCCCTCCATCTTTCCATCTAGATCTCTATCCTTACCAATTTTTATGACAGTGACTGTGATGATCTGCTCGTCCGCCCCCGCAATGACCCGACTCTAGCCTCACCACATGGTTCGTCGCCTACCACTTCAACTTCTTCTCATGGTTCTACGACTTCTCTTGCCTCCCCGGTTCCTGCTGGATCGGGCATTTGGTTGATGCTCCTTCTCTTTTTCAGATGCATTGCTCCACTCAAGGTATCCCTCCTCGGTTTCATGATTATGTGGCTCATGGTGTTGATTTTATACTGGTTCTGACTCGTTATAAACAAGCTAAAGGGAATCCTTTGTGCTAGCAAGCTATGCGCCGTGATTTAGCTGCTCTACATGCTAACAATACATGGACCTTAGTCCCTCGCCCTTCTGCGTCTACTTCAGTTATTGATTGTCGCTGGGTCTACACTATGAAGAATGAATCACAATGGTATTGTGGATCATTACAAAACAAGTCTTGTTGCACATGTGTTTACTCATGAACTCGGGGTGGATTATACAGAGACATTTGCTCTGGTGGCTAAAATATCCACTGTTTTTACCTTGCTTCCTATTGCCGCTGGTCAGAAATGGACGTTAATTTCAGTTGGATGTCAAGAATTCCCTCCTCCACAAAGATTTGGAAGAAGTCATCTATATGGAACAACCACCTGGTTATACTCTTGGTACTTCATATCATGTCTATTGTCTTCATCGGTCTCCTTACGTTCTTAAGCATACTCCTCGGGCATGGTTCGAGAAGTTTTCACTCTACCATCTCTGTCTTTGGGTTCTCTCGGAGTCTGCACGACCCATCACTTTTTACCAAGCACACGTCTGTTGGTATTGTTGTCCTGCTTCTTTATGTTGATGATATGGTTATTACTTGTACTAATCTTCAGGGGATTTGCACTCTTAAAGAGGGTCTTCAACCTTCTTACAGTCTCAAGGATCTCGAAGATCTATCCTACTTTCTTGGCCTAGAAGTTACCTGGAATCCTCATGGGCTCCTTCTTAGCCAACGGAAGTACATCTCTAGCCTTCTCAGTGATCATCATTTCGAAGACTGCCAACCGATATCTACTCCTTTGGAACTCAACCTTAAATTGGTTTGCATCTCGGGTGATCGTTTACTCATGGTACAGTCTATTGTAGTATAGTGGGAAGTCTCACATACTTGTCTGCCATGTGCCCTGATATCTCTTACGCGGTCCAGTTGGTCAGTAAGTTTACGACAACTCCTCGCACTTCTCATCTTGATGTTGTTTATTGGATCCTTCAGTACTTACAGGGGACACGTGATGTCGATTATTTCTTCCCTTCTTCTGGTATACTCTGCGTTAAATGCTTATTCTTATTTAGAGTTCGTAGAGTGTCTTGATACCCCATCGTTCCACCTCTGGCTGGTGTGTTCAGCTTGGTGATGCCTTTATCTTCTGAAATTGTAAGAAATAGGACAAGGTATATAAGTCTTCCACCGAGATCGAGTATTGCTCTATGTCTATGTCCGTGACAAGTGGTATCAGATCCTGGTTACGCTGAAGAGTCTAGTTCCTCTGTCAGTACGGAATAGGTCGAGTATGGGCCGAACCTATACCCGAATGAGAGGCGGTCCTGGGTGTGCATATCAGGCGGTCCGGACGCAGATACACATGTGTTGCGCCATTGTGAAGGACCTTGACAGGTTGAAAAAGCAGTGTCCGAGAATTTCGTTCAACTGAGGAACTAACGCTAGCGAGAGCGTAGGGTGAAGGTCGATTGAGGTACAAACGCTGGGAGTAGCGTAGGGTGAAGGTCGACTGAGGTATTAGGGCAGTAGAAGCGAAGAGTGAAGGTTGATGTCGAGGGGGCGAAGCGGTATGTGCTTGGGGCACAACAGACTAAGACAAGAGACGCGACCGGCCCGTCCATCAGAGGATGGTATCGTATGCGAAGGCCCACAATCGGTTCGAGTGTTGCAATACATGCTCTAGATAGAAGCATTCTTCACCAGCACGAGGACGTGCTGCATTATGAGTGGTGGAGAATGTCACGACCAGAAATGTCGTGACCGCATTCATCGTCCGAAGAATGCTGCCATCTGGTTGTCTTGCCACAAGAGGGGTAAAGGGTGGGGACACTAGCGATAAGGCGTTGTCTTCCTGTGCATCATTCTGGCCGAGTTAGGATGTGGCTATGAAGGGGATCGTTGCAAGAGAAGGCACAAATGGTCGGAGGCTATTGCCGTCTCCCTGATGAGCCCAAGGCAGGGAGAAACCAGTTGGCATGTGTATGCGGAGAAGCTGGTCTTGAGGATTGAGTGCACCTCAAGACGCCCCACGGGCTTTGGAAGTCTATGTCCGTGACAAGTGGTATCAAAGCCTGGTTAGGCTGAAGAGCCTAGTTCCTCTATCAGTATGGCGTAGGTCGAGTATGGACCGATCCTATGCCAGAATGAATGCGGTCCTGGGTGTGCATATCAGGTGGTCCGGACGCAGATGCACATATGTTGCGCCTTTGTGGGGGACCTCGACAGGCTGAAGATGCAGCGACCGAGAATGTCGTTCAACCGAGGAACTAACGCTAGCGAGAGCGTAGGGTGAAGGTCGATTGAGGTACAAACGTTGGGTGTAGCGTAGGGTGAAGTCGACTGAGCTACTAGCGTAGTAGAAACGAAGAGTGAAGGTTGATGTCAAGGGGCGAAGTGGTATGTGCGCGGGGCACAGCAGGCTAGCGCGAGAGACGTGACCGGAGCCTGTCCATCAGAGGATGGTATCGGTCCGAGAATATCATTCAACTGAGGAACTAACGTTAGCGAGAGCGTAGGGTGAAGGTCGATTGAGGTAAAAACGCTGGGAGTAGCGTAGGGTGAAGGTCTACTGAGGTACTAGCGCAGCAGAAGTGAAGAGTGAAGGTTGATGTCGAGGGGTGAAGTGGTATGTGCGCAGGGCACAGTAGGCTAGCGCAAGAGACGCGACCGGAGTCTGTCCATCAGAGGATTGGTATCGTATGCGAATGTTGTCTCCGAATTGGTTTGGTTGCTTCGTCTCCTCACTGATTTGGATATCACTTTTGTTGTACCAATGGAGCTCTTTGTTGACAACGCTAGTGCTATTCGTATTGCAATCAACTATGTTGTCCATGATCGTTTTGAAGCATATTGAGATATTATGTCCGGAATCTGGTCCGTGATGGTACTATTTCGGAACACTACATTCGTACAGATCACCAGATTGCCGATCTTCTTACTAAGGCCTTGTCCTCTAACCGACATTGATATTGTCTAGGGAATTGATGCTCTGTGATCCGCATCAACTGGGGGAGGCTGTAAGCATATATAGGCCATGCAGAATTGTACATACTTTCATTATAGCCCATTTAATTGAAAAATTGTACATATATAGCCACATTACAGTTGCAGAGCTGTGTTAATGGTAGGAGAGGCTATAGTCCCCTCCACCTCGCCAGTTCGAATTCTCCCGTGTATAATTTTAGCCCCCTCCACTCAAATTTATGGCTCCGCCACTGCATATGTAACCCCTAGGTAGGTGTGTGTAGGTTTCATCCAAATTGGATTCTCCCTGCTTCTTCCTCCAACTCGGAAACCTAATAACGTCAGTAGCCTGAAGAGTTCTAACCCTTCCGTGGATTAGTCCTGCATTCTCGGGATACCACGTAAACTCGGATTGTTCATTTGTCTGTTTATTTATTCAGTTCCGTATTGATTAAGAGTAAAAGTCGAGTCTATGGCTGATTCCAATGTACTTATGTTCAAGTTTTTCATTTTCAATAAAATGATCATATTGCAAGTATATCGAGCTATCATTTCACGACACAAACTGTAAACAGAAGATGTGAAAACAGAAACAAGAACGACAAACAATTAAAATGGAACAAGGACACGCAATTTCTTATATGGTTTTCAGTTTAGGAAGAATAAGAATTTTAACACTAAGTACTCCATGATTCGAGTGTGATATCGAAAGTTTCCATAATGATTTTAGCATTGAAGTTCAATCAATGTTAGCCTTTGTCATCCCATATGCCCGCATCAACTCACCTGAAAAAGGAAGTCACATGAATTAGATTAGGAGGATCCAAAATGCTAGCAACGAATTAATCAAACGGAGATAATAATGAGAAAACCTTGGGCGCAGGAAACTCCTCGCGCTCGCCCCTACCACGACGAGACGAAACGGCCACCACCTAACCGTTAACTACTTGCTTTGCATTACAAACCTGTTTTCCTATATATTCATTCATCTTAATTGATGCCCTTCCATCCGTTGCTCTCTCCAGTCATTCACGCTCTTTCTTTTCTTCCTCCTAAATCTTCTCTCCCACTCGACAATGGCGGCTGCTTCTACTTCATCATTCATCCCCCTCAAGCCTCGCCCAACTCCGCGGGTAAACCGAGCGATACATTCCCTCTGCTCACTTTACTCATTCAGTACCCAACTGCGGAATTCAGTTTGATCTCTTAGATTCGCGGTTGAGAGAGCATCACATTTGATTGGATTTTGAGTTTTCTCAGGGGTTGTCGACGATCGCCGTCCTAAAATTGGGAGCTCCTCTGTCATTCAGCTTCCGCCGCCCTGTTCTGGCGCCTGCTCGCCTCCGGATCTCCTGCGTCGTGAGTCCTCTCCTTGAATTTTTTGATAGGATTTGTTCGAGAGATAAGGTACATTCTGTTGATATTCCTGCTGAAGTGGCTGTGTTTTAAGCAGGCGAAGCCAGAGACGGTGGAGAAGGTTGCCAAGGTCGTGAAGAAACAGCTTGCACTGCCTGCGGAGACTCTGGTGACCGGCGACTCCAAGTTCGCTGCACTCGGTGCCGATTCTCTCGACACAGTAAGCAGAAATTTTTTTCTGGTCTCCATCCCTGTTGTTAGGTATCTTCCCTATTTTGCGTTGCATGCGATGACGACCCCATTGGTTTGCTGCCTTTCAATCAGGTTGAAATTGTAATGGGCCTAGAAGAGGAATTCGATATCAGCGTCGAGGAGGACAGCGCGCAGTCGATAGCGACAGTTCAGGATGCAGCTGATCTCATCGAGGAACTGGTTCGGAAGAAGTGCGCTTGAAAAAGCTTAAGAAAGAAGAAATGAATGAATGATCCTCCTATTTCTCTCTAGTGCAGTTTCATGCTTGTTATCTCTGTAAGATGGAAGAAATGTGCTCTTTGGCTTGTGTGTTCTTTTCACCTCTTTCTTCCTCTCATGTAATAGAACACACTGTTTTAGTGTGTGAAATTTTCATGGCATCTAAATGTGAAAAAAGAAAATGCGGTTGCTTGTTAACTAGCATATCCAAAGATTTCTGCAAGCTCATCCTCGGACAAAGTATCCAAAGTTGGGGCATTTTTTGGATGCACAGAAGCTAGAAAGAGCCTGATGGGGGGAAGAAGGCTACATTTTATATGTGAAAGCGTAAATGAAATGAAACGTGCTTTCAAGTTATGTGGACCTTACGGTTCTTCTTACCCTACTTCGTTAAAAGGAAGTTAATTATGTACAGTGTGGTTGCGGGAGTTTTGATCAGAAGCTCTTCATTACACATAAATTTATTCCCAATCAGCATCGAAGAAGCCGGCATCTTTCATTTCTGAGTAGTACACATTCTCCAGATGCAAATCTTCCTCCTGCAGCAAAGCCATGCAAAATATTGAACAAAGACGGATTATGCAAACTGTTGTATCTAGATGCCGAATGGAAACAAGAGAACCAAAGGATAGGGAAGTAACCTGGAAAAAGTCTGCCAGAAAGGTTATATATATCAGAGGGAGGTAGAAGGCATGGTATGAGACTATGGTGGTGCTATACAGCCTGCATGTGCGTCGATAAGAAATTATAAGAGGGGGATCACAGTAAGAAGAGTAAGTTAAGAGTTGTTGAGGGGATCCGTGACAGAATAATTACCAGTAACCGAAACCAGATCCGCTTCCACTAATCCCACAGGCGAAGAGTGCCAGAGTGTTCAACGCAAACATTATCACGATGTATTTGTAGAATGCAGGTCTTGCTGCAAGAAAGGAATTTTTTAGGTAACTTCATGATAAAGAACACCGAGCAATCTTTCAGCCTTTTTCCACTCTGCTTATTCAATATGCATGACATGACATGAACTTACCAGGCAACCTTTCCCTCCACTTGGAATGATACATGAAAAGGATGAAGCCGTAAACTGCAGTAAGAACTAGCCGATGGACAGCCCACAGGCCCCACTTCATACGATTAGAGTCCTCGCCAATGTCGATAAACAAGGGAATCCCGAACCCAAACAAGTAAAGTGCCTGAAACAAAACAATCTTCTTGTTGATAAGCAGAGTAAAAAGGACTTTGAATGCTCGGTTGAACCAATACAGATACCTACCTTGAGAAGTATGTCTAACCCAACTACAATTGCAGAGACAGCGAAGGTCTTTGTCATTGCGTCCAGCCCACTCACGTAATTGCCTTCGAGTAAAAAGGCAATTAAGCTAACTTCCAAAAAAAGCATTC